TATATATATATATATATATATATATATATATATATATATATATATATATATATATAAAATGTTAGTCACCTTGGACACCTTAGAGCAGCAGCAGCAGCCAAAGCAATCATATAGATGATACAGGTGTGCGAACATATGCATGCATACCAGGAAATAGATGGCCGAGGAGAGGACGAAGGTCCAGTATCGTCCGAGATGTGCGTCCGCGACATAAGCGCCCAGAACGGGCATCAAGTATCCAGTTCCCACCCAGTACGTGACATTGTTGGCGGCGGTCAGCGTGCCTTGGTGCAGATTCCTGGTAAGGTACAGTACCAGGTTGGATGATATCCCCTGGTACGCCATCCTCTCCACAGCGTCGTACACTGCGTGTATACGTACATCACGTCAGTGACTACGATCGAGTAGGTAAGGGAAAGGAAGCCCTCGACGACGATGGAGATCAAATCAGACTTCTTACCGACGATGAAGTAGCAAGCAAACCATCCACCTCTCTGAGACCTCGACACAGGGTTGCCTTTGAGATCCACCGAGCCATCCCGGGTGTAGTCCTGTGCCAGCTTCGATGAGCTCTCCATTTCTGTGTGCCCGAAGGTTAAGAGTCGCCGACCTCATACAGAGATGGATAGATAGACAGACCTCATCTTTTAGCAGTCGCATCATATATTGGGACGCCCATCGATTGCATTCCCTCCCCACTTCGTTCCTCTATACATTTAGTAGAAGTACAACGTTGAGAACAAAGAAAAATTACAAAGGTTCTCAGTCGTTCATTAGCTTTGAACAGAGATCCACTTCATTGTGGTGCAGAAAAGTCAACTTAATTAGATGTGACAGATTTAAATCATAGGATGAATTCTTGGAATATTTTTATTTTTATTTTTTGGACAAGTGCCTTCCATTTCTAGAATTTTATAACATCGCTCCTTTTTTTTCTCTAATATCTCAAATGTTTTTGATTTGATAGTCAATCATATGTTCTTTTTCCTATGAATCGATTCATAAAAAAAAATTAGATGATCAGAGAGAGATATTTCAGATATTAGGTTTAAAAAAAAACTATTAGATAACTTTAAAAGGAGTATTTCTCATAAAAAAAAATCTAAAAATAAAGATTTTCTTTAAGAATTCATCGTAAATAATTTGAGATGTGTTGTTGGGGTCGCGCGCGTAGTGGGAGCAAAAGGAGAGACTTTTTAGAAGAGAATAATTGTCTGTGTACCTTTGCAGCAGCCAATCGGCATCTCCAGCAGCGACCGATTGACGTGACCGCTCTTTACTCGATTCCTTGCGAGAAAGGGAGGCCATGTAAAAAATGGGAGAGACCAAACGACGCCTCCTCCACTACTCCAGTGGGCGGCTGCTAAGTGGAGGAGTGCGCTCTCTGTCCCTTCATCGTCGGACGGTGCTATCTTACGATGACAGGCGTTCAACCACTGGCCAAACATACATTCTTCACCGAGGAGGAGATGCTGCCTCCACTGCTAGCATCAGTGACAGGCAATGATACCATACGGAAAAGCAGCTGTCATGAGCATGGCTCCACCAGACAACCGATGTCCATCTCATATATTTGATACCATACGGTTGATTAATTAGGCTAATTAAATTAGATACAGAAGATATTAGAGCCACTTTGAGATTTCAATAATAGGAAATGAAGAGACGTAAAAAAGCAGTCTTTACCTGTGAGAACTCCTTCGCCTTCTCTGATTCAAGAGATGAGATAAATCTTCTGCAACCTGTTTATGTCTTTACTAGTGAACTTCACGAATCCATATTCTATTTGATGAATTGCGACGATAGAGCAATGACAAAACAGATAACATGAAATTTTCTCAAGTTTAAATGGGATAGAAACACAAACCTGGGAGAGAAGATGTTCTTGGGGTAATAGAGTTCATTGCAGAATTTGAGTCTCTTTGAAACCAGCAGAAGGAAGCAGTGAGATTCACCCGAATGAAAAATGGACCAGTGAATGTGAGATAAACCAAAGGAGAGACGAAGATGAAGAGGGATCATCAAAATAATCAGAATACTGACATCACTCTGGCAGGATAGGTGTGAAATCACTTTGGATATATAATTATACTGGTTTTGGCCGAAAACTGGATTTCGTTAAAGGACAATATAAATTTCTTCCTTGACCAAACTAAATGTCCCTGTAACACAAGCATTAGATTACAATAATGAATAGAAAATGTCAAGTCATACTTTCACAAAATAGAAGGCCACAAAAAACCAAACCAATCCATCTAAACCAGAGTAGGAGAAGTTCAGCAACTTGACTGACCATCAGACAAGTTCATTCTAACCTTTCGCCTGCTGCTACTATTCAAGGATCGCACCTGAACCCGAGAAACACGAGGCAGGTCTGAAAATCGATTCGCTGGGGCCAGGTCTTCATCCCCTCCCTCCACGCTGCTGCTGATGATGATTCGTCGTTGTTCCAACCGTACCACCCTTCCGCCGTGTTCCCTTCTATCCACATTACCAGTGTCTTCATCTCCTTGCTGTACATGTGCTGTTGAGTCTGTAGGCGAGTGGACAACTTCATGTGATTCGAAACCTTGGAATTCTGGTCTGAATTTTGATTCAGTAATCCTCTGTCCTGAGATGCTTCCCCTTTCGAAACTATTACTGCTGCTATTACTGGGGGACTGGCCATCCAGGTTTGATCTCCTTGCATGAATGCCTGAATCATTGGAATGACGCTGCCTGTCCTGAAAATTTGGTCCAGGCTTCATCGCACCTGGCCTTCCTTTGGTTCTCTTCCCTTTCTTGAAGCTTCTACTCTCGATTACAGGTTGGCTGTTCTTATCCTGACGTGGGTGTCCCTTAGCTTCTGCAGTGTATTCTAGTGGTTGGATATTCTGTAAATCTGCAGCAGGTAGAAACCCAACTGGCCACTTGGACTCATCCATTTTTCTGAAGGTAATGGAAATTCTGTGATCTCGGGGAAAAACATGAGCATCGTCAGATCCATGGGCATGAAAATAAGGAATGATTTATAGAAGTTACAAGAAACAAACCTTTTCGATGGGACAGCTGGGATGCAATGCTTCGCAACATCAGCTGCATTACCATTCAACACAAGTACCGACCTAAATAAGATAGAAATTAAAACATCAGCCAGGCAAAGTTAACTGATTCTGTAAGATCAAGCATAACTAATTTGTCATAAAGATCATGGGATGTAAATTCACAATTACAATATTACGGTACAAGATCTCTAGCAACATAACAATTTCCATCAATCCAGATAGACCTACCTCTGAAGTAGATAGATACCTGCATCGGTTCTTATTTCTAGTATAGAAAGTAATATTCAGATGTTACTGACGTGCATCGCCCATTATGGTTAGTTAATAAACAGAAATGACATTTGTAAACTGGGAAGATATAGTAGTCAATCAAAGACATCTAAAAAGGTAATCCATCTTTAAATTCAGCAATATGGACGTATATACATTAAAATGACGAAGATGTTAGCCTATTGAACTTACCCGACAGGCAAGGGGATAGCGACTGAGCCAGGAAACTCGCCTGACCCAGCAATCTGTAAACTTGATCCAAAAAGTATATTGCACTCGCTAAGAAATGACACGGTACAGAATGGTCGAACAAAATCATGGCTGTCAATATGAGGTGGAATGCTGTCTCCCAGTTCATAGATGTTGACAATACAACTGTCAGGAATACATGTTCTTGGAATTACATGCCAACGAACCAGCCTTCTTATTATCACCTTGAAAAGATGAGGAACTGGGTCAGCAACAACATTCTTCAGGATTCCTGGAGGATTTCCATTCTTATCCTACAATCAAACTTTTGTTAGTTCGTCATGCATCTTCTTTACAATTTTTGTGCAAAGGTTGAAAAGCTTAGTACCATAGAATAGTTATAACAGCATCCAAATTGAATGGTCACTCGTCCTTTGCCACACATCCATTTTGGTGGTTCTGAATATGTATGTTCTGCATGTATAACCAAGCATGATATGGTATCAGAGATTATCCTAATATAATAGAAATGCATATTAAAATTCCAATAAAAAGACAGGCAGAAGTCTGCTTCAATGCAAGGATAAAATCCAAGAATGTGTCAATCCAATTAGACCTAAAATAGCACTAATAAACAGCAATACTACTATAACTGGATGCTTACTAGACACTCTCGATAATAAAAAAAGACCAAGAAACTAGAAAATAGTTCATTTTAATCAAAGTGAGGTCAGATTCAAGTAATCTTATATGAGACCCTAATGAACTTTTCCTGTCTCGAATGACATTCCTACTTAGATCATTCAAACCTTGATGATATTCACATTGAACGATGGTCGGTAATGCAAATACAAAGTCTTCATGAATGTCTCATCGTAAAACTTGATCAAAATGAAGAAATATTGAGTGAAATCCATCAGTGGCCATTCGGTAAATCCTTGGAGGCTGATGCATTGAGTAGATATTAACTTGATCCGATCTAGACTCAAGTAAGACCTAACTATACCTAAATTGTATCAAATGACAAATATACTCCCGCATCAAATGCCTCGTAATTATAATTATATTTGTAGCTTCCAATATACTGTGCATATGCAATAGGTTTTTTATTACGAAAGACGATCAATATATGGACCATTAGTAAATGACTTCTGTAAATTCTTGAGGCAGCTTAATGTGACAAGACATTATTAGGACTAAGGGGAATAGAGAAGAGAGAATGTAGAAGAAGAAAAATTTAGGCCAAAGGCCCTAGAAACTCAATAATCACATGAATTAATCATATAAGCTGAATACAAAAGAGACCTATGATCTTGATTACTTAAACCCTAAGCTTACAGAAGAGGGAAAACAAATATCTAATTAAATTCTATCATATTAGGATTCCCAAATTTAAAGATCTCCAGGTTTCACATATATATTATAGACAATCTAGATCAGTGTAAAAAAATAGTACAAAATTAAGCCAAAGCAATCTTCAAGAAAATTATAGTTAGTTTCGGATATGTATGCAAATACTCTATCATAGACAACAAGACTTCAGCCTAACCTAGAGGCTTGAATCACATCAACTGATTCTGCTGTGCAGAGGTTATCTAGATATCAAAAGCCTGTTGCAGAGTCTTCTCTCCTTTGAGTCATCTCCACAAGTTGCTAATGAAAGATGAATTTTGAACCTTGCTCAACAAGCATAACAATATCTAAAGTAAAGTAGGGAGTGTAGGTATAAATAAGCTTCTGCAAGCTCCTAGATCAGATTTTGTCAATGTAGGTAAGAGGTCTATTGATGATGGAAAAATTGCAATGACAATATCTTCTTGATCTCCGAGTTCTTGGCTTTGGTCACTTGATCACTCAACAAACATAATGCCCTTCTTTTTTGCATGATCTCTGTTTACTCTGCAACATGATCTTCCATTGTCTGTTGCTCCACTTTTGGTCAAAAGATCATTTTAATATTTTCATGCCTGCCTTGCAACACAAGATATATTTCATGCATAATCTTCTTCCTTTCTTCCTGAAAAAAATATTGAGTGGCCATCATGATTGAACATAGATACAGCAGGCTTTAATACCAACTGGTACAACAACATTTGTGCAAAGGGTGAGGACTTGAGAAGATTTGGGAGGAAGAAGGAATATACGGCCAAAGAGCCTGTACAAAATCAATAATCACATCAACTTATAAAACAAGCTACATACAAAGAGGTCCAATATCCTAACACTTAACCCTAAATAAAAGACAGAAAACCACTATCTAATCAAATTCCATCATATTGAGATTCTTACATAAGCCTAAGGAGCTCTTACAGAAAACCATTTCTACACCTTGTCTTCAAACTGCCAAAAGGAATTGGAGAGGCTTCTTACAGACAAAAAGGAACAAGGTGCAAGAAGGGGTACTCATTGTTAGTTGTAAGATCAAAGGTAGCAAGATCAAATGTTTATGCTTGGGAAATGGCAGTGTTGCAAGGAATTCTTAATTAGACTGTGCTCAATCGATTTAACTTGAATTCAAGCTGATTTTAGCCGAAACTTCTCTTAGAATTGACGGCCGTTTGGTAAAATAAATAGATCTCTTGACTTCATTCCAAAATGCATTGATACAAGATATTCATTTGAGACTTGAGAGAGTTAGTTTTGCAACTTTGTAAAAATCTTACATTCAGAACCGATGATCCAAATATAGATCAGAATCAATCGATTTGGAGACCCAATAACTTAAATTTTGGGGAATAGGACTCATCCGACACCATAAGTTGTCACAGATCCTCCAGTGTCTTTGTTTTTTCTTTTTCTCTAAATGTACAAAACTCCCACGACCAAAGAAATGATGGATAATAGCATCAACCGTCCTGCACTTTCGTAATTTCTGTCATCTATTGTTCATATTTTGCTCTAGTCCTGTGGCTCAAGGTATGTTAGGATGACAGCATCATTGGTTTCACACCTTCTTTGTCTATTTTTATCATCTATTTTCCATATTTTACTTTTTCATTTTTCTGTGTTATCACAACTTTTATGAATGTCTTTGAACCCAGTTGACTCCTTGAAAATCAAACACAAGATATTAAGCACCTGATCAAGTCTAACTTGGCTTTTTGTATTTCTAACTAGACCGCCTAGCAGCTGCAACTAACTTTTCAATGCATCGTACAGATAAAAGTGATGAGAACTGCTAGTGTACTTTTTGAAAAATCTCAACTAGTATCTTTGACTTGTTCTTCCTACTTTTCACAAAAAGAACCTCCATATGTAATTTTTTAACCTTGTTGCAACTTGCAATCCTTTGCACTGGACAATAGTTCCAAGTATCTTGCAGAAGATTCACAGCAAGAATAAGGTCACTTGTTGATTTTACCAAGGATCGAAAGGTTGGAACTTATGATCTTGTAAGTAATTGCAGGTTTTGAATATTAAGAGACAACCAATTCTTGTTTTGGCCTTCAATTAATCTCTTGTAACTCCATAACCATAGATCTTACAGACAATTGTTCAGTTTGCTCAGACCTGAGATGAGTTGCATCAACCATGGTTGGTAAACACATTAGTTTAGCATGTTTGTACTTATTAGATTGACAAGTCTAAGAAACTGCCATTGGAATCTATTTATTAAAAGGTTGAATGAATTAGGGTAAGATATTCTTTCTGATGACATCCATGCCCGCATCTTAGAGCTACCCTGCGATATTACATTGCTTATCTTCCATTTTTTATGAGATCTTGCAGTGAACCATCCATTAAATGATTATGATAAACATTAACAATTTTCCAATGCATTTTGCAAAAAGCTCAGCATACATTCCAGAAACCAGACAATAATAAGAGAATAGTTGGCTGGACTGCACAATCAATCGCAACACTTTTACACCCTGATTCCCATTTCAGAAAGAACTAGACCTTCATAATTATGGCTTTTAAGAGTTGGAATAAGAAAGACAGGCCTTGTACAGCCCTTAAATGCCGATTTCAGATTCATTTCTTTTCCTTTTTCTTCTGAGCATTAGTTGTGTAAGCCACTATCTATATTAGATTGCAACAGCAGTGACACCTTTCAAACTTCTACATGCCATGTTGAACACATCTAAGAACAACTTACCACATTTAACACATGCAAATAGTAATCACTTAAGCTTCAATAACGGGACATAAAATAGCTATGAGATAATCTGTGAAGAGATCAGCTGTTCTGAAAGCTTATAAATTGGATGAAGTTTAACTGTACAGTCATGTGGTAGCAGTGCTACCCATCAATTGGCATAAATGTTCAGGCACTGTGATTACTGAACTCGAAAGCTACTAATATTGTTTCCTGGATATAGATAAGCATATCCAATAAGTATCACTAAAATAAGCAAGGGTTCATTAAGGCCATCCAGTCTTTGAACATAGAAATGAACATAAAATCATTCTAATCACATAATATAAATAGTCAATTAACCAAAGAAAAAAAGCAAATTATACACTCACCTCCCAACTGATGATTTTTCCCCTTCCCTTGGAGCTCATACACAAAATCCACAATCCTTTTCTGCTCTGCCGCACTAAAAACTCCTGTATGCAGCTCGAGGCCATCGAGGATATTAACAATCTTCCCTTTGACCCTCTCCAGGCATATGAAATCCTTCTTTCTGACGACATTCTTAAACCGTATCTCCTCCCTCTGCTCCCTCGACAACCCTGTCTCCTTTCTCAAGTTGTTCCCTTTTCCCTTCGACTCTCCCCCCGTTGCATCCACCGAACTCCTCCTCTCTGCCTCTGCATCTTCCTCCCCTTCCGCCGCCTCCTCGAGTTCGTCCTCCTGCGCCATGTCGGCCCAAGACATCCGAACCCTGGGTGAATCAGACGATGCCGGCGGATCCGGATCCCACTCCGTTGGTTGGATGCCGGCATGTTGATTCAGCAGCTCATCCGCGCCAGCGGAAACTGAAGCTTCCGGATCCTCCGCGATGGTGGAGGCGGAGGCCTCCGCCTTGGCCTCGCCAGGCGACCCTAAATAACAACAAGAACCCTAAAATCTTAAAACATACAACCGAAAGATGGAACAGGAGGAGAGGATGGTAAGCGGAAGGAGATACCTGGGCGGAGGGAGTGGATGCGGCTGCGGAGCGCGGCGGAGCAACCGTCGCAGAGGCCGCGGGTGAGAAAAGGTAGCCAATTGGTGAGGAACTCTGCGGCGATCTCCAGCTCCGACGGCTCATACTCTTGCACGAACGAATCGTCCTCCATGAGCCACTCTCTCTCTCTCTCTCGTTCTGGTTTTGCGCGAGAATTGGATGAAGGCGAGTCTCACGGCCCGAGAAGAGCAGGCGGAAGCGACGATGTCGACGGAAGAAAGGCGCCTCCGGATCTGATCGCCACAAATTGTGATCAACGGTTTTGATCATGTTATTGATTCTGATCTTATATGAAGATTATATGTAACCTTTTATCAAAACCAGTTTAGTACGGTTATAATGGTATCAATGCTTTGGCATCCCAAATCGGACGGTTCAAAATTGCGCCAAAATTTATGGGGAAGAACTTGGCGCAAAGAATGCTTAGGCACAAATATAGAAAGGGGCGGTGGTCTGGGGACGTGAGGTTTAACGGCGACGCTACTGTCGTAACTGAAGTCGCGCCGAGTGCCAATACACGACGCACAGCTACTAGCCCTATTCGTTCCTTGCATTCTCCGCAGCCACAACACAGGGCCAGCCTCGTGCTCCGCCGCCACGCCCGCCCCGTGAGAGTGGCCGCTCCGAGGAAGAAGAGGACGACGGAATATGATGCGGACGTTGCAAACGACGATCTCCGCCTCCCTCAAGGCTCTCATTTCTCCGCAGAACCACCAGTTCCTCCGGAGATGCCCCGTCAGCGGGACCGCTAAGGGCAAGGCCAAGCTCAAGGCCGGACAGCCCCTCAAGCGCTCCACCATCCGCACCAAGAAGGCCTCCGGCAGCGGCGGGGATGCGCCCCGCGGAGGTCGCTCCCGCAACGAGGCCATCGAGCGCCTCAAACGCACGGCGGACTCCTGCCTCAACGCCCCCACCCCTATCCGCTACCTGAGCGCCAAGGACCGCCGCCGGGAAGCCGAACGCGAGAAGCTCGGTCTCATCTCTAAGGAGCGCCAGCGCGAGATCGACCAGGCCAAGGCCCGCGCCAAGTCCGGCAAGACTGGCCCCGAGGAGGAGCCTGTGATCATGGGCACACCGGGGCTTGATTACATTTCCCTTGGTCTCGTCGATAAAGAGGCCATCCCCAAGTACGAGCTCACCGTGGAGGATGGCAGTCGGCTCGCCAAGGAGTACAGTCGGTTCCTGATGCGAAAGCACAGAGCGAGGCAAGCTGCGGAGACAGCACTCTTAAAACTTAAGAAGGAGGCGATCGCTGCTCTACCGGACCACCTCCGCGCGGCCGCAATGGTCCCGGATTTCACCCCGTTCCCGGCAAATCGCTTCATGGCGACGCTGACGCCACCTATTGAGGGATACACTGAGAAGCTTAAGGAGGATGCCAAGAAATATGCAGTCAAGGGCAAGCAGCGTTGACCGATCTCTCAGGTAATACCACCTGTTCTGACATTTCTCTGTTCAAGCCATTACTCTGTTTTGCTGCTTCCTTCAACATGAACCTGATTAAGGTTTTGACTTTGGATCAATTGACGGAATCCATTTGTATTAGCTTCAATGAAAAGCACCTGTCCTTCAGATGATTGTTTGTTCGCATGCTTGCATCAAAATGGCAATTTGCTGAAGATTCATCTTCTATGCTCTTCTAGACTGGTCAACATGGACCTTCTTTTCATCCAGTGTTCTAATGATGAAAGCATTAGATGTCTTACTTCTGTTCCATCACCTGTGCTTTCTTGTTCTTCCCCTCTCCTTCTACCTCTTTGGAATTCGACAAGATAGTAAACCAAACTGATGACATCCTATTTCCTGTCAACTTTGATAGGAGCATCAAATTAGTTTATGAAATTGTATTTACTCATCGTTTTTATGTTTTTTTAGGGTTTATGTAGATTAAATTATAATCTTGCAAGGCTTGCATTATTTTGTACTGCATTGCAAACAACACATGTCATGGTGCATACTCATATAGAGCATCTTTTTGTATGGCCGACATGGATATGGGTAGACATTATATTAAGCTAGGATTAATCACAACTTAACCATGAAGTATTGATCTTCTATGAGGCTCATCCTTTTGACAGAAACACATCACCATATGAATCTACAAATCATATAATTGGAGGTAAAGATGAATAATTCATTTGTCATAAGTTAGACATGTGTCGCTATTGCTGCCTCTATTCTTTATTTGTTCAGCTGGTTATAAATTTATTTGAGGAGACTTTTTTATAACGTGTTGAGCATTTCATGGGTCATCAGTTCATCGTGGAGGCACATACTCTTAGTATCTACAGAATTGTAGAATTCATGAGATATAATTTGCTATCATTGTGTCAGCTAGTGTTGTACAAAGCACAAACCAAATCTCCAGAGTTGGAATTCAATATTATTCTCTAGCTTCCACCAGAAACTTGTGAAAAATAAGATCAATGACACATTCAATCTCAAGCTCTTTCAGAGAAGCATTTTCTTGAACTTGACCATTTGAGGAAAATATATCAGAGATAGTGTCATGTATAAAACTATCTTCTTACTCATATTAGAAATTCGTAAAATAAGAGTGGATAATTTTCTCCTGAAAGTTGCTCAAAGAAGGTGCATTCTCCATTCTAAACTCATGTGAAAGAACTTAACCATATAAAATGAAAATAGACTTGTTGCATGTATGGCTTCATTATTTTTAAGAATCACAAATGTTTCACCTCCCATGGACCAATTCCTTAATCATTGTTCATGACATCAACATCTAATATGATATGATTGATACTTGTTGATGTTTATTAAGGTTTCAAATGTGGCATTGTCACCAAAAGTTGGCATTGAAAATTGACCAAACTGGGTTGGGGTTAGTGTTAGTCAACTTTAGTCATTTCTACATGATTTATCAACCACAAAAGAGAAAAAGAAGGAACCAAAAATTGCAAGGTGTAGCAATTACAGGAGCCAAAGAGAACATAAAATGGAGGAACACGAAAAGTTTCAAGTTTTGACCGTGGTTGTGAAATAGAGATGTCACCATTATTACATGCATTTGGATATAACAGTCACATTCACAGTATGCTACCGATGTTATAATGTTCATCATTCACCATACTGGAAGAAAACGAAGAAAGGGAATGATGGATAATATCCCTGACTAGGAATGTGGACATAAAGTTTTGATCAAGGAACAAGGATGATTTAAAGTTCTACAATACCCTTGATTCACAACATACAGAAATAATCATGTTGCCAAAAGTATAAATTCTGAGAAAGGAAAAGACTCTAACTTGGTTGTTGGGTTGACAATGATGTTGTTCATGTGGAAGTTAATAAGAGGATGTGCCTTTGGATGGCACCGGGCTATTTGATAATGGCATTGTTGCAAACATCAACAGAGAACACGGGATATGATGAGATTATGGGTCTACCACTAGTGGTGGCGCTCAAAGGAGGGTACTAGAGGGCCTTACAAGTGTTCTTCAACCGAGTAATATGGGAGTGGTGATTGAGTTCACTGGATTCCTCCAATGAAGATGAAAGGAGTGACCCCATTTGGATTGAGTGAGTTTTGTATGTAAAAAGGATAAAACAAGAGGCAACAGTTTTTGCTTGTAGTTAGTAGGCATAAGGGTTGATGCTATTGCTGTGAACAGAGGAGAAAGTTTATTGCTGTGAACTGAGGAGAAAGTTTATTGCTGTGAACTGAAAAAAGCAAACTTTCAGAATTCTAACTATCACATCTGCCTATTCCATATAAATACTGACTATGGACAAACAATAAATTCTGCAAAAAAGTGGATATTGTTGTCACTGAATCCTGTGTCATAATTTCCACCAATATCTCCAACAATTAAAACTCAGATTATTTGTTTTTATTATTTTTTGAAAAAAATGAAAAACAAGAAACTGGCACATCTGTTTTCTTTCTAACTCCTAATCTTGAGAAATGTTTTCATCTAGTTGAGAGGGGTTGTTTGACAATAGATACTAAGTTTTGAGAGGAATGCTGTTGAAGCACTAGTTAAGATTAGGCTGGATTCATCAGTGAATTAATTTTCATCAATATTGTATCTGATAGGTTCCCACATGGTTAATAGAATATTGATGTCAAAATTTGGAATATTCAGATGCAAACATCCTAGGAATGAATCGATGTGAAGATTTTCAATTAGTGTCTAATTTTAATATATAGACACAAGATTTGTGTCGTCACATTGATTTGTTTTGTGTGATTAATCGAACCTATTCGGTTTGGCTGATCGGAGATGAGAATAGTCGTCTCCAATTGGGAAATCCTTTGTGTTTTGAGCAATTATAGTTAGTAGGTACAAGTTTCAGCTGGTCATAATATCGTACTAGTTACCAACCTGTTCAGAAAAAAGGAAAAAAACTGGTGCCATAATCTTATTTGATTGATTTGACCATATAAGCTGTTCTGACCCCAAGTCCTCAACTCCTAGGCTCAAACCCATCCCAATATCTTGAAGCTCAGATGGCACTGATCGAAGGTTGACATGCTCAATCAATGGATCTCTTGTTTAATCAACCCCCTAATTTTCTGTCTATGGAGTTCCTCCAATGAGCAACCACAAACGATTTGGCTTTAATCTGTTATCTATTGTATCTTGTAAGGGAACTGGCTATTTCGAGCATACCCGGCATAAGGATCCAGTGGGCTGCTGCTCTATGGCTCAATCAATGTTTAATCCATATGCACACATGGTTGAATGCCTTTAAGTTGATTCCTTCTAGCCATTACAAGCCTAGGATCAGGCCCATCATAAATCGTGTCGATAACTACCGGCAATCGGTCCATCATCATATTGTGCAAACAATTACTCTTGTTTTCTTTGTTTATGGCATTTTGCTTTCTTAGGCTTCGGTAATGTGTTCTTTTTTCTCATTGCTTCACTTTTGTTGAACCTCAACTTCTTTCATAACTATGGCATTTGAATACATGCTTATTGTTGTCATAACCACATCAAACTTCTAATCTTATGCTTATGGTACTTTTTGATCAAGCATGTGGATCTATCTCTGGCACTTCTAAGCAGAATACAAGTTGAAGGATGAAGACGGAAGGTGCAAGACTTACATGAGGTTGATACTTTTAGGTAACTTTCCAAGGGTTCAGCGGAGTTATGGATCTTCGGATTAGAAAGTAAAGTAGCATGACAGAATATGGTTTCCTTTGTTGGCATCGAACTACTACTTTCAAATTCATTCCAAGTGTGTGTATCTGAATCGGGAGAAGAGAAAAGAATAGGAAATGATTGGAACTGCTTGCATCACATGAATTCTCATAAAGCTTCCACTCAGGTAATGCACTTGAATAATAGCTTCCTTTTTTCTTTACTCTACTGTTTCGGAAAATTATCAAAACTCCTGATGGTGCTCTCTTGATTGAGTTGTGCTCTTACAGTGAAACCCCAAGTTTTGATGGGAAGGTCACGGATGATGGCAGTAACCCATTGTGCTTTTTGTTCTTTTTCTTGCCATTATAATTGTGTGGTTATAAGCAAACAAAACAAAAAGGGTTAAATTTCTGAATATCAAATGTCAGTAACTGATTACAAATATGAACAAACAAACTACGGATGAATCAATTTATAAGTGCGTTTATTGCACAGTTTTCTTGATATACAAATCTTCAGATGGCACAGTTTATATAGGTATCATCCCATGTGAAAACTGAAGCTTTTTCTCATTTTAACTTCTACATTATATTAGTGTAATTCCCATTGAACCATTTGAAGTGTCATTATCTCATGATCTGATTAAATCCTCTTCTGGGAAAAGGAAATGAAAGGGAACATTGGTCATTTTAGGTGACCCCGTTCCACCTAATTACAATGGCACATGTGGTCGTCTGGGACCGCATTTGCCAAAAGCCTCAGTATGTTATGTTCTTGGCTGAAGCAGCGCCTCTTGTATGCGTTTGATGTTAAACGATGAACTATCAGATATAGTTGCCTTTCTGCGACATGGTGTTTGGATCTACCAGTGGCATGATTCAATGACTAGTGCGACAAACTGATGCAGTCAAGAACAAAATGCATTCATTTTTTCTCTTTTTTTTCTTCTGTTCTTAGTAATAGGAATAGAGAAAACCCATAGTGATGCCAGGCAGAAAAAGACGTATAATAATACCTTCACTGATTTTTCATAAGTCGGTGAAGATGAGATCCATTAGGCAGAAGTAAGCCTGGACAATTGAATCACAACAGGAATAAATACTGGAGCATTCTTAAGCTCAGTGCAGCAGTCAGCCTGAATCAATGTTTTATATGCAATGTAGCATAGAAGATTGAACATGGTAGGTACATTATCTATGAGAATAGAGCTCGATACTCATCGGCCTCTCGGGCCATTTCCTCTGGTGTTCTGTCCTTCCTTTCTTTGTCCAAGTCAAGCTTCTCCTTGAGTTCCTTCTCTTTCAAATCAATCTAATAATAAGAAGATAATATTTGAATTAAATGAAAGAAACGGCATGGACAGCCATAAGAATATCATCATGTACAACATTCATTGAAATAAGCTTTTCAAATTAAAATAAGACTATCACTAACCGCATCATAGATCTCATCATTTTTCTCGAAATCACCCTTTTTCCTGGGTAGAATGTGAATGTGCACATGAGGAACTGTCTGCCCCGCCTGAGGTCCATCCTGGATCGTCAACAAAAGGATGCTTTAGAACTTAGCAAGGTAACACAAACATCAACCATAGATTATCGTCTGTTATATGGAACGTCAAATAATATCATCTCTTTATCAGCTACATGGAACATAATTCATGTACCAAACATAATTCAATGGCTCATACATATCAAGACACCTAAGCGATTCGAGTCAAATTAACAGTTGCAGACTTCCTACATAGCAAGACAGCAGACGAACACAAATCAAAGGGGCATTGTCAGCACCGTAAGGGTAATTCCATAAGGACACAAACAAGAATAAATTTGACTGACTACTAAGTTATTTTTTGTCTGAAAAACTCAATTTCAATGCCTCACGCATTTTACAAAGACTGATCAGTCTTCAGCAAGGCTAACTGAAAGTACTTGTCTCTAAGATGCTGAGGGTTCCAGTGCAATCTCGTCCTTCGTATAAGACAGTCCGCTGAGGCCAAGAGCAACTTGGCCTGATCCCAATAAAACACTTGCCAGGACATGATATATGGCTCCCTGAGCGAAGCCCATGGAAATCACAAACATGAAGTCTTTGCTTGCAATACTCGTTCCTAGTTTTGCAACTTTTGACTCGATGCTTAACAGTAACACAAGTTCAGAATGAAATTGGTGGGATAGGGTTGACCAGGTACAAAAGTTTAAGATATCAGATCAATCCATTCAACCCGACCGACGAGCACTCCAGTTTCAAATTTAAGAACCAGACCTTAAATGGAATTGAACCATTCAACAATCCAACTAGAAGTAGTGAAACAATCATGTAGTGGTTGATGAATTAACCATACCCATATCATTCAAAAAGGTCAAATCGGGTTGCTGACAAGGTAATCAAGCTAAGCATGTCAGAACTTGATCACCTATGCACAGCTACTCAAAACAGGTTAATCATTGGGATCTTCAACCAAAGACAGATTAAATCAATCAGTGAAGAGATTATCCACATGACATTATATTCTTGAGATTATTCAACAAAAAAATAAAGGCTGGTAGCAATAATTGAATCATTCGCACGGCACTATATTGTTGAGAGAACCTTCTCATTAATTAGATATAGTGAAATTACATAACAAAAAACAGTGACTAAAATAAATTCTAATAATCTTACTTGAATAGCAAATGTCAGTGAAGATGCTTCATGATGACGCTCAAGACGACCACCAACTTCCTTGGCAGTAAGCCATAAGTCACAAACCTCATCAGCAGTGAGATCAATAAAACGTTTTACTTCCCGCCTTGGACATACAAGCACATGTAGATAATGTCAAGGTTCAACTTATGGTGAAATTATGCATGCAAAATAAAAGTGTACAGATGAAGTGAATAGAGAGAAAGATGCCACCAAAGATATCTGTGCATTTTAACATAGATGCACAACAGAGGAACTGAATATCGCATGCATATATCAAGTAAAATGATATCAATAAGATGAATTAGTGGCTTCATCGAAAGGATATGACCTGCAAAATTTTAGAAAAGGTATATTAGATCTATGTAGCAATCAACAGAAATGAGGGAAGATGGCAGCAAAGCTTTAATAAAAGAGATAGTTATACAATAGAGTCTCACAATTTGCTTTGTATGCCCATGAATGGAAGGTAAATACTATTGCTATACAATGAATGTGCTACATAGACCTACCCTTTTAAAGGGGAAAAACTTTAACGTTAAACAATAATTATGGTTAACTGATCAAATTGATCAGATCAATATGCTTCAGTCAAAGACAGAATTAATAAACATGTGATAAAGCACTTCAAGTTAGAGAAGCTAGTACCACAAAGCATTTGTTTTTCACAAAACATTTTTAGTATAAGCATAATCAACCTTCAATAATAAACTAGCAGTCCCAGGAATGTAAAGTACGATTCAAGTGGCAGTCGCTAACCTTTCCTAAAGCTCAATCAGTTGTAAAAATCAAGCAATCAATTTCAACTGAGTAAAGGCACAAAAGTTTTTATTTACATAAAATTTAGGTAATATCAGGTTGTATGTTCATACTTTAATTTTTATATCAAACCTCTCAAACAATCATCAAATGGGGAAATTCCTTGTATGCCGCAGGTTCAAAAATGCAAGCAGTTCAAAGTGTTCTTATCTCAAAAATTCCTTTTCGTAATGATACAAATTCAAGTTATCTACGTCCACCCTATTTATTGGAGATGATATATGTAACAATGTCCACGATAAGCTTTTCGTGCATGCAATAGAGAATTTCTTAGTAGAATGCCCCTCTTTATGATGCATCATTTTATAACCTGGACCAAATCATCAATAGGTGCCTTTGTGTAAATGAAGTCACCTAAGAAATTTGGGAAAGATAGAAGTCCCACTCTCAAGTATCCTTTGGCAGTTCTGTTAGCATTTAAAGATGAAGAAGATACAATATTGGAATTGTTAACACAAAAGGTGATCTTAAGAGGAAAGAAACTTGCATTATACCGGACAAAGCAAGTTCCAATTTTGGTATTATAAAGAATGCACTTGCTTTTCCATTCCTAAGGTAAGCATTCTTGGTAATTCCAAAAGTAGAATCTCATGGCTATAAAAGGACAAGGGAGAAAGGCAAAGGGGAATGTGTAGTGTAGCAAGGGTAATCAAGACCATGAGAAATTAGTCCAATGATGCAATTTTATAGATTGAAATTGAGTACCGGAAATAACAACGCAACCTATGAATGAACAGGACAAGCATGGGACCTAGGAATGATCATGGATTTAATTATTACAAGACAAGATAATATAGATTAAGATTGAGATAGCATTTAGAAAAGTCCTAAAGTGCCAAGTGATAAAGAAGAATCAGCAACACACATTGTCATATACTTAAGTTTTTAGGTTGTATTGGTGTCCAACCACCATGTATGGTAGGCTTAAGATAGTCCCACTCAAACTTGAATTCCTTTGAAATTATCAACATCCAGATGAGTAGAGTAAAGATCGACTAGGTCGATGGACCCTACCAGGATCAAAGATCCAGAAAGGATCAAGATTTAAAATCAAAAATTGAAAATAGAAGGGGAAATGACCAAACCTGATATATTGAGATATAGATTGAGATAGGGCTAAAAGTAATCCTACATTGCTAAGACATAAACAAAAGAGCGACTTACACAACATAAGAGCTTAAGCTAGCCCTCACATTGACCGTCAACCATACAAAAAACAATACAATAAAGGAAGATAATAGTAACAGTAATCATATATCTCTCCAAACTCAGCATAAACAGAAGCATCAATAGATATGCATCCAAAATTACTCTAAACAACCTATCGAAATCTATACCCACAATTGTGACCATAACCCTAATATTTCATAAGTAGCAACAATCCAAAATAACATGAGAGAGAATGGGAATCAACGGAAGGCATACCCGGTAGGAGAGGCCGCAGGTTGACCATGGCAAAGGAGTGCAAGGTGGAGTGGAAGACCTCGGTACGGTGGATCTTGTACGGGCCGAAGGTGTAGCTGACGAGCTCCTCCATCTCAGACTGCGACCTAGACTCAGACCGAGGCTGAACCGTTCCGCGGAATAGACGGATCGGATTCGGGGCGAGGAGGCACGAAGTGGGGCGGAGAGCGGCAGGCGACGACCGAAAGAGGGAATACGACGGACGAGCCGCGCGGTCGCGAACCCCTCTTAACAGCAGACCAAAGAGCGAGTGAGAAGCACTCGCCATATGATTGTTCGGATACAAAGGAAGGGAAGGCATCGATAGACGAGACACGTGACTACGAGCCGCAGCGTTACTGACCCGACTCGAGTCGTGTCTTACGGTGCGACATGACTCGAGTCCGACTTCGTAGAATACGTATAATAAGCCCTTCCGGTGATAGGAGATGGATGAATCGGATCATTACCTGGACTCAGTATTAGAGCATTGGTATGCTAAATTATGGAGCCCTTCTTCTCCAGTACTAAAAGGAGGATTTTTTTTTTCTTCTTAAAAAAATTAAATTTCTATTAAGAAATATAACAACAATCAACACATGAATTTTCTTTAAAAAAAATGAGAAACTAAATAATAATAATAATAATAATAATAATAATAATAATAATAATAATGACTAAAAAATGTGTTAGATAAGATTGATGAAGATACAAAAAGGTCTCTCTTCTTTGACACAATATCATTTATATGAATTGTTAAAAATTGTCTTTACATGAGAAAGCAGGATGTAATGACCAATGAATGATAGTATATATACAGAGAGTACAAAACACAGGATGTTAGAAACCTCGTCTATCTAAAATATACACATCGTTCCAAAAAAAAGTGTCACATCGAGTTGTCAACTTCTCTGAGAGAGAGAACAAATAAATAAAAACACAATGCTGAAAATGCACACTCAAAATTGTTCCACCAGGAAACTGAACCTATGAAATTTTATTCCATACAAGGAGGAGAAGCTTTTGGGGAAGAAAATATATCAGAAAATTCTCATTTATAGGATGGTATCACTTTCAAGAGGTTTGTATAAAGTCATAAGATGATGATGATCTTTCGTGACAAGTAAATATAATATTTCGTACTTACCAAAAAAAAATATAATATTTCAATCTGTTTATCAAAGTGGATGATCATCATCTATAGTTTGAGATGGTTCAGATTTCCATCATGGTTTCTCATCCCAGTACATGTCATAGTATATGTGGCTAGGACTTTGGTTCCGCACGCAACACCATGTTCCGACGTATCTCTTGACGCGATTTCTAAATGTTGCTTCCCTTGCCTAAATCAACTCATCACGTTATCATCTAGAACAAAATAGTTATATAGAATTAAAATTTTTAGTCACCAACAAAAAAACTATGATAATGCTTACCTCATCACTGAACCCTAGGAACGCATTTGACATGGATGAAAAGTGCAAGACTTGGATATCTTTGTACTGGGAGAATACTTGCATGTACTGTAAGACAAATTGGCAAACTATTTAGTAAAGCATTTGAACTCTTCTAGAGTACATCAGTAAATGCTTCAAGCATTTACCTATTTCACGGAAAAAAAATACAAAATAATCAGATTCATGTGTCATGACTGTCTGATTAACTAACTATAAGACAAAAAACACAAATACATGTTTCTAGAGCTTGCAAGGAGAAGCCGGTTCTTTGCTCTGTTTTCTTGCATTGTATCAAGAGGCCTAAGAAGAACACAGAATATGGACAACAATAGAAAGAATATGGACAACAATAGAAAGTCTAAGGTTTAAGGTTCCAAGACTAGAATACTGAGTGGTCAGTTTTGTGACTGAACTTTGCTTAGTTGATACCATTAGAAAATGTGCTCTCACCAAATGAATAGACAATCTCATCCTACCACCATTATTATGATCTTAAACCCTTAAATAATAAAAATTTAATCATTAGATGTGCATACCACCTGCTCAGTGCTATTTCTAGGAAATTGGATGAAACCACGGCTAGTTGTTTCATTGGATATATTGCATCCTTTGGAATGTGCATCACAAAGTTGAACATTAAGTAATGATTCCTTCACCTGAATCCATAATAAAAAAAGTTATTTGAATTGAAAGATATGTATGAGCAGCGAAGTATTGCAAATTGATACAACAATATCTTTACATGTTTGGGCACTGATGGATTCTGCAGGAACGAGTACTCCCTGAAATGAATTTGTGGGCCAAATTCTTCTTCAGAAAGGCCACGGACCATGGTATGAATCTGCAAAGGTGAATCAACTCTAATCATATGATTGAAAATGTGGCATCAGGCATAACAATTATAACATGCAAAAACAGTTCACATGCAATGGAAGAAGAAAAAAGCGAGCAGTGAGAGGCTGTCAATATAATCAAGCATATACTTCCATTCAGACTGCAAAAGACTGTCCTTTTAAAATAATTAATTAATAATGACAACAAAGACTAAAAAAACTTTATTCCCAATGATTATAGATGGGATTGCTAATGGATCTCCTCTTTGTTGCTACACTCGGTATCAAGATTTTCAATACTGGTCCAATACAAGTTTCAACATTTGATCAGACCACTACAGTACTAGTATATCGAGTAGTATATTCTTTATTACCAAATGCAAAGAAGAAATTATCCAAGTGCAAAAGCAATGTAAAAATGGATAAAGCATAGAGATTAGAGAATACCTATTTTATCGAATCTAAAGAAGATAAAACCACACTCTATGATCAAAGAATGAACAAAAATTGGTATAAGAATCTATTGGTTGAAGGAGAATGGATGAAATGTTTTGGGAAAATATAGTACACGATCAATAAGTTGAGCATGTGCAATCAACTTAATTTGAACCGGTGAGTTAAAAATGATATGACAAACTGCAAAGTCATGGCAAATAAAATTTTATAAGATAATTTCCAGTTTCCACATGGACTAAGAGACCTACCTGCAATATTAGAGCAATTGAAGGAGATTTAGTCAACATAGGTTTTCTTAGAATTTAATTGTAGCAAAGTAAATGCATATTAATATTTCAATTTCAATGCTAAGGATCAGTTCTGCTTGGGAATAACATCAAGAAAATAATTTCTAATTACTGGAATTATGGAGTATGGCATTTAGTAGACCAACTACCTCTATCCCTTCTGTAACAGGAAAGCTCATCATGATTCAACTCTTGGCAAGCCCACAGTATAGAACAAATGCAAATGTAAAAGAAGATGCTCTTGAAATAATGTGTATGTTCAAATTTTAATTGAAGAACAATATGCCCTTACTTCCGATCAAGGCTACTCTTGCCCCTCTACTTGCTTTCTAGTATTCCAAAAAAACCGGTGCACAAGGCTTCTGCTAATGCAGGGTTTGAAAAGAGTTAATGTATGCAACCTAATCCCAAGATCTAAAGAGGTATTTTCTTATAACTTGAACCTGGTCTTCCATGTCACCGGAGCAATCTTATTTCCATACTCAGACTCACCCTTATTCCAACTTGCCCCTCTCTAATCTAAGTTATATTTAAACTGATAGAAGCCACATTAAACAATATTACCACTATCATATTCTGACCTTAAGTAATTATTATTTGTCTTTTCTCTCTCAACACCATCCTCCTACTCTGCGAGCACTCATTTCAATGTCCACTTACAGAAAACATGAATTAAGGAGACTAAAGCTCTTGTCTATCGGACATGTTGATGATAATCAAACATACTTGATCTTCTCATCTAATGTTGCCAAGGTCATATTTGGTATCACGAATACATATTGTTTCAACTCTCAAAAGTAAGAAATATGACAACCAAGGAAAGAACCATGTTTGATAGTCTGATAGACTTAATTTCAAAAACTTCGAGTAGAAAATTTTAATTTGCTTGAGTGATTCACCAAATAGTCAAGATAGGACAATTCTTGTTCTCTGCTGTCTGTCGCTCAATTGCCCTACCACCCATCTCATCTTTGATGTCTCCTCCTCTTCAATGGACTTCCTCTTCCTTTGACATCCTCTTCTTTCTTATTCTCCCTAGTATGGTTCGTCTTATCGGTCTGTACCGATGTATCAATTGGCCATCGATACGGTATATATCAAAGTATCGATACACGATACGATGGGACATATTGATAGACCGGTATATACCACCTATACCGGTCCTCTATCAGACTAGTGTACCGCCCATATCGGACAGTACGTCACGGTATGACGAACCATGCTCCCTACCACTTCCTTCCTCCTCCCCCTCCTTCCCCACCTCCCCCAACAGAATGGCATTCCATGTGGCGATACATTGGAACAGACCAGACTTGTACCATCTGTCCATAGACTAGCATGGGCCCAATACCCAAAATTGAAAACCTTGTTTAAGATCATTGGAATTCCTAGATAAAACTGTGCATGGCAAGTTGCAAAATGGAACACTATGGAAATTAAGTTTACAGGATTAAAGGCTAAAAGCATATATCCATAAACTTTGAAAACTAGCTAAACGGAAATTAGTCTATTCCCCCAAACCATAGTGATTCATCAGCAGGGAACATCTGATTCCATACATCATGAATGAGCAGGAAGATCCCAAAATGTTCTGAGAATTTTAATAACCATATCAATGCAGTATAATGGAGAATGTGCAGGTACAAATAATTCAAGTAAGCCAAGAGCAACAAGATAAAATAATTCAGACCATCTAAACAATCATCTTAAAATTGAAGATGCAAGACTTTGATCTATTTGTAAGCACACAACTCATGCTAATACTTTTTCCTCATAGTTAAAGTCCGGGTATATGTGCTATTTGAGGGCGAGCTTTCATACAAAGATAAGGTTCATCCCAAACGACCTACCATTTTGCTGATCCTTTGGAATTTTGAACTTAATGGAAAAGAGCAAATAAAACCCATAATTTTATGATCCAAGTTAGCAAGTAAATGACAAGAAAAGATAATGAAGGAAAATGCCCATCCATGGATAATGTGTTAGGAAACTAGCAAGAGAGTGCACAATATACACACTAATCTAACAAATATAATTACCTCAAACAAGTGGTCCATAGGGCATACAAAAGGTTGCGTGGTCAGTGTCCCTTTCAAAATTCCAAGATGTCCAGACCACAATCTTTCAAACCTGCACCATAATCGAGGCATTACCTAAACATAGACAAGGAATATGAGTCAGAATTATTGCAACCACAGCAGTCAAGCTCGTTGAATAATAATTTCACAACAATGTCCTGTCAACTGTTAATGTGTCAATTCTGTGTGTTTTATGTTGCTAATGTATAACAAGCCTCATATTGCATACTACAGAAGACTACGCTCGTTGTGTGATGAGAACAAAGTTGACCTTCCATCATTATTCTATGATGGAATCAGAATCTAAAAAATTAGACACAAAAATCAATTATTTGATACTCCATGAATTTTCGTTAAAGCAACACCCATTAACATTACAATTCTCAAGCAACAACTAATGAATAATAAGCTCCTTAAAAATAAGGATTTTGAGAAGTAAATGGTTCTCAGCTCAATGGCCATTTGGAATTTGATTAGATGATAAATTAATTGCACACTTTAATGAAATGTTTATTAGCATCTGCATGGACAAAAAGTTTTGCCGACAAGTACATACATTGTTTTCAAAAGTGCACAATTTGTGAAAAGAGAAGGGATCTTCGAAAGATCCTATCTTCTGAAGCTATTTAATTCAAAAATAACCTTACCAGAATATCAAGGAAAAAGATCCCTTTAAAGTTTAAACTATGCATATAAGATATCTTTTACAAAATCTCAGCAGATCAAGTTTAATTTTTTAATTGGTGAAACCTCACTCACCAGTGTTCGGTTCAACAGAGAAGCAACAGCAAGTGCAGTTCTTATCTGCCTCAACTGAAACATGCAAATAAGAATGTCACTTGACCAGTTAATTCCTTGGACATCTCTCCAAATCTCAATAAGAAATGCAAACATTTTATAACATTATCTTACCTGGTAATTAACCAATGAGAAGTGTGATTGTACGGTATGTGGCCCATCCAGCAACAAACTCTTAGGAATACCAGGTTTGAATGATAAGAAACCTCCTGCAAAGACACAAACCGAGTCAGAAGGATAACAAGCAAGACAACATAACATAGTTTTTGGAAGAATTAAACATAAGAATCCAGCAACCGAGCAAGCAAGCCTGATGAGATAGACACTAGACTCTGGGATGTGTAGGGTTTGCTGAATTTTCTACCATCATTTTGTTGATTGTGATGCTCTAGTTCTTGCTCCAGACCTCAACTAAATACAGTCATACCAAAGATTGGGTATTACTGAACTTTCCAAAATGAACACCGTCCATATACATGAATCTCATAAATTTTTGGCATATTTGTGGTAGGTACAGGTATATACTTTTGGCATTTTACATCTAATTATTGTGTTTGCATGTTAGTTAGAATTTCTTTCTCACCTTCTCGGTATATGTATTCTTTATATACTACTTTCAATTTTTATTTGATATATGTTTCGATTTGGTTTTTTTATTGTATTCTATATTAAGATCACTTTATTGTTATCAATATTGATTATACTAGGCTCATTTATATGTGAGAAAGAACCCTAAATTAAGATTTCTTTTATTTTTCTCAATTTTTTTAGTACTTTTCTAGTATCATGGTACACGCCAACATAACATGTATTGATACACTGATACAACAAGAGTCATACTAGTCTAGGCCCTGTATGCTGGTACAAACCAAACCAAGTCAGATCGAGACTTGGACTGGTGGGGTCCGATACACGGTATTTTATTCCTTGCATACTCCACATGAATCTATAGCTTATGGAAGCTCTTCAATAGATAATTTCTCAAAAATTAAAGCACTCAACACAGCCTAGCATCTCAAAAATCACATAGCACTAGTACTGGTTTTCAGTATTTGGGGAAATATTTTTCACTTATTACCTATCAATATTACAACTCACTTTTGAATTGTGCAGTAAAAGTCAAGTACAAAAAAAAAAAGTTGTCAACCAGCAAAGACATTTAGCTTAGTAGGAAAAAGTTGAATTTTACCAGATGAGATGAGAAGAAAGAATACCTGGTGTATCGTAATATGCAGGTTGGTCATAGAAAAGCATAGCCTCACGTAACCTATGGCGCTTTCCATCAGAACCTGAAAACTGGAAGGTAGTATGCACAGCATATGGTTCCAGTTTGAGTTGCTGGGGCATTGCCTGCCAGTTCATTTAAAAGAATTGTTGCATGGTCATTCACATTTATTTGGTTTAAAGAGAGAGAATACCATACAACAAACTATACAATAACCATAGTTAGATGAGCAACAATAAACTAACAGCTCCAAGAACAACAATAACAATAAAGCTGTAAGTCCCAACTATTTGGGGTCAGCTACATGAATCTTTTGTTGTCATTGAGGTCTGTAAAAATTTATATATAAAAATCCTTGCACCACTAATATTAATTATTTTATCTCTTTTGACAACCATATCCAAACGTCTATTAAGTATATGCTCACATCATTTTAAAGGATTTTCTTTCATCTTATCCTTTGACAAACATTTTTAATACATAGTTATTCACGAATAAAAATATTTTTTTCTATATTTTCTAGTAACTCCACACATCCATCTCAACATTCTTGACTGCCTAATACTTGCTAGTTATAGGTGTCTAGCAAGCCAATCACGTGAGTGATGGCACGTGTGATTTGATACGGAATCTTTTTACTTATTATATTTTGACATTTATCACCTTATATTGATTATTGCATATATGCATGTATATATTGTGATGTCCTTGGATCCGTGCAATGGGAATCGGATCGTGATGAGATCACAATAATGAGATCTATTCACCTTTAAACACATATCCTAAATAATCCCGGTCATAGGTTACTCGAGAGGGACATCGTGATAACCGGACAAACTGGTGTGCTATATACCCGTCTATATGATGGATGTAGCTGATCTCATAACTGCTCGTGTGGGGACACTAGGGATACAGTACAGGTGCTCATTGGAGAATGAGTTCACTGATTGATCCGCTTATGGAATGTTGGATGGTTGATGATGCCTTATTGTTAGACAACAATTTCGTAGTCCTAGTGGTGTATCTGGTCCTTAGACTTGAGACATTAAGAATGTCCTGTATGAGTGCTCCACTCTTTGATACCAGACTTATAGGTTTGGATGTCCCAGATCTAGTACAGTTGGTCATTGGGAGTGGTAGTCGACCTTACGATGGCTATTGAGTGTCGATAGAGGATCATCCACTCTCGGCGTCATGAGAGGAATATCCCATGTGTTCTTGCTCAAACAAATCCCTGGCCAAGGTCATTAGGGTTGAGAGAAAAAGAGTTCTCCGGGAGAATCCGATTAGAGCGAGACTCGAGTAGAAATCGTATAGGTCTGACAACACCATGCTCGATATACGGTCTCTGGGATATTAGATGGATGATGGACTATATGTACACGATAACTGAGGATAGACAGGTCCAATGGATTGGATTCCCCTGTATCGTCTGGGGACTACGGCATAGTGGCCTAGTACGTCCGTAATCGATGAGTCGAGTGAATTATTACAGAGATAATAATTCACTAAGTTAAAAGGAGTTCTGACAGGTATGACTCATGGCTAGCTCGATATTGGGCCTAGAGGGTCACACACATATGGTAGGCATTGCGATGAGTAGAGGTTCGGATATGAGATATCCGCCGGAGCCCTTGTCTTATTGGATATCCAATAAGCCCCTGAATTATTAGATCCCATGGACGAGATCCAATAAGAGCCCATGAGAGATTATTGGATAGAGATCCACTAATCTAAAAGGCTTAGGTAATTGGATGCATATCGAATACCCACTAGGGGAGGATCCATTAGGTTTTGACAGGGGTCTTCTATAAATAGGAGGGATTAAGAGCCTCATAAGCTAGAGCCTTTGCTTGCCTCTCCTATTCTCCTCCCCCTCTCCACCTTAGAGCAGGCTTGGAGTTTTGAGGAGCGTAGTCACAGCCCTGCTGTGTGGATCACCGCTAGAGAAGAGGACGCTTGACCTCCTTCACCCTCTCCTAAAGATCTGCAAGGAAACAGGGATATACGATCTCCCTAGGTAACACAATCTACTCTATACGCAGTTTTAAGTTTCACGGATTTTACGTACCAATCTTCGCACGACAACGAACATCTCTTTAGGAATAGGGGATTTTGTTTTCTTATTATTCCGCTGCGCATGTGATGTCGCCCCCAAGATTTCCCAACAATACTCATATCTATAAAGCATTGTGGGTCTCACAACTATCTTAGAAAATTTTTCTTTTAATGGTAAGGTATCCGATAATCACATAAGACTCCTGATGCCCCTCACCATTTTAGTCATTCTGTTTTTCCTTTATAAATAATATCTTCATCAATCTATCCATCTTATTAAATAATTGATCTAAGATACCTAAAGATTTTGCTTAGAGGGAATTCTAGTCCATCCAATTTAATTATATTCTATTATCTATTTCTCAAAACACTAAAATTATATTTTATATATTCAGTTTTGGTCCTAAATAATCTAAAACCTTTATATTCTAAAGTTTGCCTCCACAACTCAAGCTTATAATTAATTTCACTTAAGCTCTCATCAATTAAGATAATATCATCAGCAAATAATATATATCATGGAGGTCTATCAGATAGACGACTAGTCAATTCTTCGATTATCAATGTGAAAAAATAAAGACTTGAACCAGATCCTTGAAGTAATCCTATACTAATAGGAAACTCACTAGACACTCTTCCTATAGTTTTGACACTAATAACTATATTATCATATATATCTTTAATAACATCAATATAATTATCTTTAGAAACCCTGTCATAGGTTTTCTCTGAGTCAATAAAATTCATGTGCAAATCTTTTTTTTTCTCCCTATACTTTTTCATTAATTATCTTAATAAATAAATAACTTCTATGATTGATCTTTCAAGTATAAAACAAAATTGATTTTCAGAGATATTTGTTTCAAACCATATCCTACTTTCAATAACTCTTTTCCAAAGTTTCATAATATTGCTCATGATTTGAACTCCTTTATAATTTGAACAATTTTATATATCACCCTTGTTTTTATAAATTGGTACTAAAAACTTTTTCTCCATTTATCAGGATAACAGCTCCAAGAATAATTAGAAGAAAAAGAATTGTTGCTTAGGATTTATATTATATGGTTAAAAACATAGAATAACATACCGCAAACTTTACAATAACCATAGTTGGATGAGCAAATGAATTAACAGCTACAAAGACAATCGAAAAGAACTACCTGGATAAAGTATGTATGCCCACTGCAAAATATACTTGCTGGCAAAAGACCGACCTTAAGAGTCCCATCATAAGCATAAAAAAGTCCACTTTCTCCTTTAAGTGATGGTCCTAAAACATGGCGGACAAGATCATTAAAGACAGCCTGGTCCCATTTCTCTTCATCACCAAGAAGTAAATCTTTCCACTCCTTAGCTAGCCTCTTCGCAGAATCAGTGGGACGCCAGTGAAACATTCCAATATTGTAGGCAGTAGTTACTACAAACAATAGAAGGGAAAAATAATAGTTAATGATCCTCGAACTATCAAAGTCAAATTTTGATGAAAGAAAACTTTAAAGAACCTTAAGAAAGGGTTAAGGAAAGAAACGAAAGTGCAGATGCTCTGTATTAGCCTTACTATGTTTTCGCTTGCACTTTGCATGGCACCAAAACAAGTGTCATTTCACTACAACATGTGTCAGCCATGTGGACATATGCAAACTTAAACACTAAGTTTTCTACAGTCTAGTTTATAGGCTCCTTCATAGAACCTGACATCAGCAACATTGTTTGATATCTTTGAATAAACTTTATCACTAACAACTAAAAAAGTAACTCAGATGATATATTAGATAATACTAAGATTCACTCAACTATATAGGACCTACTGAGTAATTTTTTTAGGTTATATTTGCTACAGGAAATAAGATTCTGGGTCAAAAATTTTGTATGTGATAAGGTCCAACATTTTAGATACTAATACAAGTAACGGTACCTATACCACAATCTTATTATATCAGTACAACTTGGCATATTAAAAAAAATTCAAGAATGTTTAATATATCTGTACCAGCTAGTGTGGTTATTACTTATTACCAAGATTCATTGACATTAGTAGAAAATACCATTATGCCAGACTTCCAAACTGTCATCAGTTGTTGTTGGTCTAAGATGATCGGTTGATGTTAACAAATCTGCCTCAGGAAAACGAGCAAAATATGGAAGTGGATTCTGTTCCAAACAAAAACACATA